GCTATGGATTTGTTTAGAGATGGGTCTTGCTATGTCACCCAGGCTGGCCTTGAGCTTCTGGGCGCAAATCACCTTCCTGCCTCGGCCTCCCAGCAAAGAACCACGGAGCCCCTGTGCAAAAAGAGGAGCCACAGGTTGTGAATGCACTGGACTGCGCAGAGGGTAAAACAGCTGCTGAACAAACCCTGTGTCCACGGATGGATGAATGGACACACAGCGTGGCCATCCACACTGGCGTATCAGGCAGCGATGAACAGGGCAAGTCTCTGACCCACGCCACACCACAGCGTGGAGGACCTTGAGAACGCCGTGCTCAGTGAGAGAAGCAGACTCACAAGCAACAGCGTGACTCCACTGACAGGAAACGTCCAGCACAGGGGACCCAGGGACAGGCAGCGGACTCGTGGAGGCCAGGGGTTGGGAACGAATAGGGTGACTGCTTGGGGGACAGCGTGACGGAGTGTAGAACAGATAGTGGTCATGGCTTCAGAAACTTTGTTAATGTACTGAAAACCACTGAAAAAATATGTCTTGTTTGTTTGAGCCAGGGTCTCCCTGTGTAGCCCAGGCTGACCTTGAACTCAGGATCCTCTTGCCTCTACCTCCCGAGTGCTGGGATTACAGGGATGAACAACTGTACTCAGCCTAAAAACCACTGAATTTTATAGTACATGATTTATGACTCAAAAAAACAGATATATAAATCCCCATAACTCTTGCTATATCATTAGTATTGAATAAATTTAAGTTATTACTGTTACAAGTAAGCACAGCACAGGGATGAAAATGTGATGTTCATTAATTGTATTTGACATTTATTAATTTTACTTAATGCACAGAGTTTAGTGTAATCCTCACAAAAGTCCTATGAGGTAGATATTCTTGTTCTGTTTCTTTGTTCTGAGACACTATGTAGCCTAGGCTGGCCTGCAACTCTGATTCTCCTGCCTCAGACACCTAAATGCTGAGATTATAGGCATGCACCACCATGCCTGGCCTGAAATACTCTTATGCTTCTCCTCAACAAATGGGTACAGAGAGGTTAGTTTCTGGCCTAGGGTTTCTTGCAGAGTGCAAGTGCCTGAAAGTTGCAGATAGCGAAAGAACCTGGTCCCAGAGTGCTTCAATTCACCACACCACCGACAGACAACCTAATTAGTGAGTGACTAATGATGAATGGTGTGCTTTCACCATTCATCCTCCAAGAGAGTCTTGTGCTGTGGCTGGTGCTGACTCCATGAGCCCTGTCAAGGGCCAACCTTTGTGGGCAGGTGTGGAATGGATGCAGGTGATGGTCCTCAATAAGTGACACAGGCCACTTATTGTGTGGACAGTGGGAGGTGGGACGAGGAGCTTTGGCAATGAGGAGAAAGAACAAGCTGGCATTAGGAGAGAGATGTTCCCTGCCTGAATGGATCCAGCAAGTCTTTCCCTTTGCTTTGTTTTTTTGTTGCGTTTTGGAGACAGGGTCTCACTATGTACCCCAGGCTGGACTTGAATTCATGATCCTCCTGCTTCCATCTCCTGAATGCTTGGATTACAGGTGGGCCCTACCTTTGCAACAAGGTTTTCTTAAGCGCCTACTGGGTGCACCATGTGATCACTGTTAGGGATGCAGTCAGGGATCTCCATCAACAGAGGTGTCTCCATCCTCACAGAAGTCTCAGTCTTTAGGGAGGGTAAAGACAACGGCCAGCTCAAGAAATGAAGCCCGCAGGGAGATGCGGGGGTGTGGAGAGTGTGGGGAGCTGGGGCTGGGGGCTGGGCTGCAGCTGTGGCATTTTGGGTGGTGGAAAACACCTCCCCGTTGTCTTTTCCAAGGCAGAGGGGATCGATGCAGGTCAGGTTCCCTCCTTCCCTTCATTTTTGCTTCCCTCCCTCCTTCCTTCTTCCTTCCTCTCCCTACTTCCTTCCTTTCTCCCTCCTTCCCTCCTCTCTCCTTCATTTCTCCCCCCTTCCTTCATTCCCCCTTCTCATCCAGCCCTCCCTCCCTCCACCCATCCCTCCCTCCCTCCATCATCTCCTTCCTTCCTTCCCCCTCTCTTTTCATCCCTCTCTTCTTCCCTCCCTCTCTCCCCCCACCTTCTGCACCTTCCTTCCTCCCACCCCAAGGTGTCACTACACATTTCCCACTTTCTGCCCAGTACTGTGGATCAAAGGGTACCACAGTCCAGAAGCAGACACACACATGAAGACCTCACAGCCCTCGTGGCTGGGCCAGGCACCCACAGGCACCGTGACACCCATTCTTTGCTCACATTATTTCCCACAGTAATTTACTGAGTACCTACTGTGTGCTGGGTGTGGGTCTGGAGAGAGAAAACTCACAGAACCCTCCAGCCGTGGTGTTTAATCCTCTCACCCTCGCACAGCACTGGGAGGAGACTGAGGCACAGAACACCCCCTGCCGTCCTCACTGGACATACCCCACAAAGGCAGGGACTCTGCTTGGGGGTCATGGAGAAGGTTCTAGAGTACACAGTAGATAGTCAAGAGATGGATGAGTGAATGAACAGAGGGAGGTGGACTCCAGGACTGGGACTAGGACAACAGGGCATGTGGCACACGTGTGGCTAGGGATCGGTTGTGCCAGCTTTGGTTAGGATCCCAGGCTGGTGTCTGTGCCACTTCACAGGGCCGGGCTGGGGTGAGGCACTGGGAAATGTGGGCGCCAGGGAGGGGACCCTGGCGTCCAACTGGCGCTGCTGTTATCAGAGGCTCTTTTATCTGTGTCACTGCCTCTCTGAACTCGCTCTGCCCGCTCAGGGATATTGCAGGAAACTCTGGTTTCAGCTGGCCTCTGAGCTTACAACAGGCAGAGCAGTAAAAGGCCTGTTACTACCATCTCCCTGACAATATGACAGCTTCTCTGGAGCCCACCAGGTAGCATTGGTGACAGGGGAACCCCTCTTAGTCACCCCCGCCTGCCTAGTCCTCTGGTCTTCCAAGGCAGGGGAGAAAAGCAGGCTTCAGAGTCCCAAGTGCTGTGCAACCTCAGAGAAGTTGCTTCACCTCTCTGAGACTGGATTCCTCATTGCCACACAAAAACTAGGAAGCTGGACTCGGGAGTGGGAGGGAGCTGTGTGTGAAGATGAGAAACAATCTCTGTCAAGTCCAGTGTGGTTCAATGACCAAAAAGCCTGGGGCCATAACTCGGGTAGAGCACCTGCCTAGCATATACAAAGCCCCTGCTTCCATCAAGTATTTTTGTGTGTGTACTGGAGATCAGCCTGACCCTGTCTTAAGATTTCTTTTTTTCTTTCTTTTCTTTTGCAGTGCCAGGGTTGGAACCCTGGTTCTCACACATGGTAGACAAGTGCTGTACCCCATCCCTCTCTTAAGAGCTCTCTGGTCAACAGTCAGTATTTATTGAGCTCCTACTGTATTACATGTCCTGAAGGACAATGCAGAGGAGGGCAGACACAGCCCCGGCTCTCAGAGCTTTCCAGAGCACTGGGACAAGTGTTGAGAAAGTGGGGTAGGAAGGATGAAGTGGGAAGGCTTGAGGAGGAACTGGCTGCTTCTTCCACCTGAGTTATAAAGTTGGAGAGTTTATAAGCCAAGTTTAAGAGTCTGGAGTATTAGTGGGAGCCACAGATATGTTTTAAATGGAGGCGTTAGAGTTTGGGAGACTGGTTGGATCAGCACACCAGGCATTGACGTTGACGTGCTCCAGGACTCGGGGCGGAGGGAGCACCGGCATTGCTGGGAATGTGTGGGAAGGCACTCAAGGTGCCTTCTGTAAGCTGTAAAGAAAACCAGTTTACTTTGGCTCCCGGTTCTAGTCCAAGGTCAAGGGGTGGTGTCTGATGACTCCTTCCTGGCAGAGGCCAGATGTGGAACAGGGCATCACATGTGAGAGCTGGGGAGCCCGTGAGACCTAGCCAAACAATTTCTAGCTCACCCCTTCCCTGTTCATCGCCGGATGGCGCAGAGCCTCACGTGTTTTTAATGCGAGGTGTGAGGATGAACCCAGGCCTGAGCACACTGGGCAAGTGCTCCTCACTGAGCTGCACCCTAGCCCTGCTTCCTAAGGTCCCACCTCTTACTTATGAGGGCATGATGGAGATTACATTTCAACATGAGTTTGGAAGGGGTAAACCACATTCAAAGCATGGCAAGTATCTATCGCCCCAGTTTTTCTTTCAGCAGCCAACTGCCCTGCCTCTACCACCTGAGTCACATCTCCAGCTCTTTCTACTTATTTTTGGGTAGGACCTTGTGCTTTTTTCCCAGGCCAACATAGACCATGATCCTATGCCTCCTTGGTAGTTGGAATTACAGTGTGTACCTGCATTTCTGACTTGTTCATTGAGGTGGGGTCTTGCTAACTTTTTGCCTGGCCTGGCCTTGAACTGTGAGCCTCCTGATTTTTGCCTCCTGAGTAGCTGGGATTACAGACATGCACCACAAGCCCAACTTTTTCCTGAATATTTTCAAGCTGCATTTGGCTTAATGTGAAGTTATGAAATCCCTACGTACAGAGCATTTTCTTCTAAAAAAAAGGGGAAGGGATGGATGGATAGATGGTAGATAAGATAGTCTTTGTCACAGTCCTTGAGGGAATAATGAACCAATAGAATAATAAATGGAGTAATGGATCTATTTTTTTTTGAGGCAGGTCTCACTATGCAAACCAGGCTGGCCTGGAACTTATGATTCTCCTGTCTCAGCCTCCTGAGTACTGGGATTACAGGCGGGTACCACCACACCTGGCTAGCAATGTATCTATTGGTGACCAATTAATTCACAAGATCAGCGGGGCTGGGGGTGCAGCTCAGGGATAGAGCACTTGTCTTTTCTATACAGTACCCTGGATTTCATCTCTGGCACCAAACAATAAAAAAAAAAGATCAGCTGGAAGGTTGACAGGTGGTTGATTGACAATGTTGGCTGGATGAGTTTTCTGGAAGGCGTGGGTGATTGGCTTAAGGCTAAGGGTTTTGGGAGAGGGAGCCCCACCCTGTCATCTGACCCGCCCCTCCCTGTGTCTGTTCCAGATCAGCAATGTTCCCTTTCTGGTCTTCGGCCCCCTTATGGTGTTCCTGATGCATCCCTATGCCCAGAAGCGCTCCCAGGGCGTGTACATCGTCTCCACCCTCTTCATGGGCATAGGTAGGTGGGTCTGTGACCACAGGGAGGCGGCGTGGGGGCAGGAGGCTCCCTTGACTCCCTTCCCTTGTCTCTGTCCCCTAGGCGTGTTCTCCATGTATTTCCACATGACGCTCAGCTTTCTGGGCCAGCTGCTGGACGAGCTGGCTATCCTGTGGCTCCTGGCCTTTAGCTACAGCATTTGGATGCCGCGCTGCTACTTCCCTGCCTTCCTGAAGGGCAACAGGTGGGCAGGGGCTGGCTGTGCAGACAGGGTGGGGCTTGAGCCCTCTGTGGGTCTGCCTGCCCCCCCACTCTGCATCCTCTTCCCTTTGGGGGTCTCTAGAATCCCTCTCCTAACATCCTAGGACTCTCTGCAGATCCTGCCTGACTTACGTGGCCTTCCATTAACCTCTTTCCTAGTCCCACATGGATAATCCTGAGACCTTCTCCAATTCCCATCTGAGCCACCTGGGGACTCTCTGGACTCCAGGGGCTCCCTCCTCTGAGCCCCTCACTATCTGGACTCTCTAGAATCTTCCATCTGATCCACCTCAGGCCCTCTCTTGACTTGCCTGATTCCAGTCCCCACCCCTCTTGCCAAGTTTCCTCAGAAACTCTCCCAAAACCTGTTTGCCCCACCTGTGCCTTCCAGGACTCACCCATCACTACCCACGACACCTGTCATGTCCAGTCCTTTGTGGACCTCTCCAAAATCACCTGGGCTCAGGCCTGACCTCACCTGGGCCCTGAAACCTTTGCTGACCCTCCTGGGCTCCCCAAAGCCCTCTTTTCATTCTACCCTGCCCTCCATGGATCCTTTTCAGTCCCTGCCTGGGCCTACCTGGGCTCCCCTGGACCCCTCTGCACTCACCTGGGAAACTCAGGTGTCTTCCCCAGAGCCCTGCCCTTTTTCTCATCCACCTTGGCCACAAGATGACCTGGCTTCATCCTCCAGGACCTCCCTCCACTCCTCACCCACAACTGAGCCACTGTCCTCCTCAGGTCCCACTTCGCCTGCCTGGTCATCACCACCACTGTGATCAGCACGTTCCTGTCCTTTCTGAGGCCTACAGTCAATGCATACGCCCTCAACAGCATTGCTGTGCACATCCTGTACATCGTGCAACGGGAGTACAAGAGGTGACCGCAGGCCCCTAGAGGGGACACCCCCCACCCACGACTGGCAGGGCTGGGATTTGAATCTGTCTTACTTGAGATGAAAGCCCTAAAATGTACATATGAGTGGAAAGGGTTACCCTACAAACCTCCATGCACCCAGCCCCAACAACCACCCTCATTTTCCAGTGTGTATTACATATTTCCCTTGGATTTCATATAATTTCACCCCTCGAATTTTTCAGGATTTAATTTATTGATTTTTAACCCTTACTGGGTCTTTTTTTTTTAAATTTATTTAGGCACTCTACCACTTGAGCCACATCCCCAGTCCTTCTTGCTTTAGGCATTTTTCAGATAGGGTCTTGCTTTTGCCCAGGGCCAGCCTCAGCTATGTCTTCCTTGTAGCCAGATGACAGGTGTGTACCACCACGCTTGTTGGTTGAGATGGGGGTCTCAGTAAGTTTTACCTAGGCTGGTCTTAAACCTCAAATCTTCCAATCTCTGCTTCCTGAGTAGCTGAGATTACAGGCATGAGCCATCATGCTTGGCCTCACACTGGGTCTTAGCAGGACTGAGAAGGGCTCTTGAATGGGGCTGCTTGAGAAGACCTGAATAAAAAAGATTACTTATAAAGAGAATGCTGGGTGTTGGAAAATCGATCAGGGCTGTTTAGAGCCCTGTGCTAATCAGTATGGGATTCCATGACCATTGGCGTTCTGGGGCAAGGACGGCAGAGGACACCTGGGAAAGGAAGGCCAGAGGGACTGATTACAAGAATTGAAGAAGCTGGGCAGGTGAGATGGTTTCTCTGACAGCAGCTAGGGAAACAGACACCCTACCCTTTCATTAAGTTTCATTCTTCCAACCCTTTCATTTTCTGGGGAAGGCTCCACATTGCCCAAACCCACTGGAAGCCATTGGCCAATCCAGGTAGCAACCGTTGGTCAAATAGACTGGAAACCACTGATCTAGCCAATCAGAGATGATTGGCCAAGCCAACCAGAAACCATTGGATGTCTTCATTTTGTCCAGCCTGCCCTATTTAAGGTGAGCAGGCAGAAACTGCTTTGAACCTAAAGGGAGTTGCTCTCTTAGTCATTCCTGATATGCTCTTTTGCCAGGGACACCGGGTTGGTCCTGTTGCCAGGAAACAGATTCTGGTGTTGAGTTGTCCCAAGCCATAAACTTCACAGAATACAGCCCCCCAAGACCCACAGTCACTCTTACACACAGACATGCATGTCTTATAACACACGGGGACACATGCACAGCCCCAAACACACAAGCATTGGATTGCAAACTGAAAATAAAGATCACTGTTATGATGTAATCCATTACTTTGTACAACTACCATAAAAATCAACACAAATGATGATTACACCACCAGACAAATTTGGTTTAGGTCCCAGCCCTGCCACCTAACTATGTAAGCATGTGGGGGTGGGGCACGGCCTCATTGCCTGTGTTTACTCACGACGAAGTTGTGTAAGGACTGTGTTGATGTCTGCACCTGCTGTCCTATAACTGCTCTGCAAGTATTAGCTGTCAGCATACATTAGGCCCCATTGTCAGTCAGCTTTCTGCTACTGTAACAAACACCTGGGATAAATACATTTACAAACAGATGAGGCTGAGTAGGAGGACTGGTTGATTCCAATGTTTGAGGACAGCCTGGGTAACAAAGCAAGACCCTGTCAAGAGAGAAAGTTGGGGGAGGGGGGAAGAGCGAAACAGAGATACAGAGAGAGACAGATAGACAAATAGAGATAGAAAGATGTGTGTGTGTGTGTGTGTGAGAGAGAGAGAGAGAGAGATTGAAGGTTTATTTTGGCTCAGTTTTTGTTGTTGTTGTTGTTGCTGTTGTTGTTGTTTTACATTGCTGGGGATCAAATTCAGGGCCTTGTCCATGCTAGGCAATTGCTCTACCACTGAGTTACATCACCAGCACTGGCTCACAGTTTTTTGTTTGTTTATTTGGTCTTTGGGTTTTGTTTTTTCTTTTCTTTTTTTTTTTAATATTTGAGATACAGTCTTACTATATTCCCCAGGCTGGCCTTGAACTTGCAATCCTTCACCTCTGTCCCCGCAGTTCTGGCTTTGGCTTTGGTTCAGTTTCAGAGCCTGCAGTTCACGTTCAGTTGACCCTGTTATTTTGGGCCTAGGTGACATATCATGGCAGCCAGTACATGACAGAGCTAAGCCATTCACCTTATGGCCAGGGAGTGAAAAAGAAGCAGAAGAAGGACCAAGGAGCTGGCACTGGTGGCTCACGCCTGTAATCCTAGCTACTCAGGAGGCAGAGATCAGGAGGATGGACAAATAGGTCAGAGAGCCTATCTCAAAAAAACTCATCACAAAAAAGGGCTGGCAGAGTGGCTCAAGGTGTAGACCCTGAGTTCAAACCCCAGCACTGCAAAAAAAAAAAAAAAAAAGTAGAGGTCCCAGAATCCCCTTCAAGGCCACACCCTTAGTGACAAAGCTGTATCACTAGGCCCCACCTCTTAAAGGTACCACTCCCTCCCAATAGCACCAAGCTGAGCAGCAAGCCTTTTTAACACGTAGACCTTTGGGGAACATTGCAGATCTGAATTACAGCAAGCACCAGCACTCTTGCATCCATATCCTTTCTCCTTCCCTCCCCTGGCCTCTGAGCTTCATCTCTTTGGATGCAGGAATTTCTCATCAGCATCTTTGGGTGCTGGTGTCTGAATTAGGCCTGATCTCCAACCTTCCCTCCCCAGGACCAGTAATAAAGACCTTCGTCACCTGATTGAGGTCTCTGTGGTTTTATGGGCCCTTGCCCTTACCAGCTGGGTGAGTGACCGTGTTCTTTGCAACTTCTGGCAATGGATTCGTTTCTCTTATTTGCACAGCATTTGGTAAGTACCTGTCCTGGGTGGGGCCTGGGACCTGGAAGCTTGGAGCAGGAGCCTGGGGTGGGGCAGGGTGGAGGTAGAGGAGGAGATCCAGATCTTGACTTGGTGGTAGGTAAGGTGGCACTTGGCTTGCTGGACCCAGAAGGTACCTGTAGATGGCCAAGAGTCATGAGACATAAGGAGGAGAGGTCCGTGTGGGGCTGGGGGCATCCTGCACCTTTGCCACTTTCTCCCTGCCTCCCACAGGCATGTGCTCATCAGCATCACCTTTCCTTATGGCCTGGCCACCATGGTCTTGGTTGATGCCCACTATGAGATGCCAGGCCAAACCTTTAAACTCCGCTACTGGCCACAGGACACTTGGCCAATAGGAATGCCATACATAGAGATCCGAGCGGATGACAAGAACTGCTGAGCCCCATCGGTCTTTTGATACTCCAGCCATCTGCTGAGTCACCTGTGTTTCGAGGACAGAGGACTGAACCAAGACGTCAACCCCAGCCCAAGGGACACTCGCAGTTCCTTATCTTTCTCCTTTCCCATGCGCCTGCCTTGCCCCAAGGCAGGGGATGAACTTCTGGGTGTCTGTGACTTGATGTACTTTCCCCTCCATGTCCTGCCCCTGTCCACAGTTTCCCTTTGGTCATTGTCATATGACCTGGTGGGACTGCACTACCAGGTACAATGATTGGGTGATGTGAGAGTTGTTGGAATGACCCCAGCTTGGCACTTGCCATCTGGCATTTTGTATATATTGATGGCTATTTCCCAATGCCCTGGATCTGTCTTTGCCACCACAATGCCCCTGTGACTTGGGGGACATCACAGAGAACAGACATGACTTCCAGGTGCCTCATCCCACACTCATACATGTGTGTAGAGACTCGCAGAGTCTACCGCGTGTGCTTATGGACTTGTGGGGAGCAAGTCATCACTGGCTGGCAGCTGAGGACAATGGAGGTCCACATTGGGCAATCTTGGTGTTGTGGAGCTCGGGGCATCAGAGGGGAGCTGCTCTATGCTCTTAGCAGCAGGGAAGGTGATGGGGGTTAAGAGCATGGGGCTTGCAGTCAGACAGACCTAAGTGCGAACCCCTGCTCAACCATTTTCCACTTGTGTAACCTTGAACGCGTGACTTTCCCTGCTTCTGAAGCTCAAGCTCCTCATCTGTAAACAATTCCCTCTCTCATGGGGTCTCCGTGTGAATAAAACAAGTTATCATGTGTGAATTTATCATGTGCATTTGGCAGAGAGCCTATCCTTTAGTTCATCCTTCCATCCATCGGCCATCCATCTTCTACCCATACATGAATTCATCTATCTATTCATCTGTTCACCTTTTCCACAATCCAGAAGTGGTTTTTTTTTGGCAGCACTGGGGTTTGAACTCAGGGCCTTATGCTTGTTAGGCAGGTGCTCTTCCACTTGAGCTACTCTGCCAGACCTAATCTATTCATTTTTTCATCTACCTTTTATATCAATCTGTTCATTTGCCAATGTATCCATCCATCCATCCATCCATCCATCCATCCATCCATTTATCCAAGTACTTATCCACTCTTCATCTGTTATCCACCCGTATGTTAACTTACTCCTCCATTAATTCCTCCATCCATTTGTCTATCCATTTTTTGTTTATTACCTTATGTTTTTGGTTTTGAGACAGGGTCTCCCTATGTAGACTACGATAGCCTCTAAACTCCCAATCCTCCTGCCTCAGCCTCTGAGTGCTGGGATTACAAGCATGTACCACCATTCAAGGTGTGTCCTCGATATTTTTATCCATCTATTCGTTCATTAATGAGCACAGCCATCCAGCGAACCATCATCCTCCATTTATCCACTCATATCCTTCCTTCCTTCCATCCATCCATCCATCCACCTATCCATCATCCACTTATCCAACTATTTACCCCTCAACCCTCTTCCATCAATCTGTTCATTCCATTTGACCAGCCATTTCTCATTTATCCACCCAAAAAGTCCAGCCAACCATCCATTTATCTATTTCCCACCTACTTGTTATTTGCTTATTTATTCATCCTTTCATCAATATATAGTTTCCATTATATGTCAGACACTTGCCTCTTTGCAAGACAGTCAACAGCCAGAGTCCCTGCCCTAATGAAGGAGACAAATGTTAAATAAGAAGACACGTGAGCAAGACAGTTGGGGACACTGATGAATGCCACAAAGACAAAACATGGGGATGTTCTAGAGAACCCTGGAGTGGGGGAGGCAGCTCCCCAAATGGGTGTTTAGGGAGGCATATCCTCATGAAAAGAGGAAGCCATCCATTCCAGAACCAGGGCAAGGCCAGTCTGGATAGAGAGCATGGCAAGTGTGAATCCCAAGGCATGGGAATGAGCTTGCAAGCTGAGTTACAGAAAGAAAACTGTTGCCAGAGCTTAGTACAGGAGGAGGAACCATAGTAAGATGTGACAGTACAGAACTTTTAACGCAGGACCTTGCGCTTGCTAGGCAGGTGCTCTACTGCTTAAGCCATGCCCCCAGACCTTTTTGCTTTAGTTCTTTCTCTTTTCTTTTTTTTTTTTTTTTTTTGGCAGTCCTGGGGTTTGAACTTGGGTTTCACAGTTAGGTAGGTCAGGCACCCTAACACCTGAACCACTCTGCCAGGCTATTTTTCATACACGATCTTGAGCTTTTGCCTGGCCTGTGCTCGGACTGTGATCTTCCTACCTCTGCCTCCCAAGTAGCTGGGATTACAGGCATCCATCACCATGGCCAGTCCCTACACAGTAAGAAGGTCTTAACCTGGGGGCCCTGGATGGGTTTCAGTATCCACAGACCACTTAATGTTATCTGCCAAAGATGAGTGTCTGAACATATTACCTGGGCATCACTACACATAGACAAAAATGCTCTCATATTTTAAAATTTTTCCCTAACATTTAAATAAACATAAATTGGTAAGAAAAAGTAGCTTAAAAACTAAACAGTTTGAGAATCTGAAGAAAAAAATGGAAACATGTTAACTTCATTAATATCAGAGAAAAGTGTCAAAACAGTAACATTTCAATTTCTTTTATTAAAATGGTAAAAATAAAGAATGTTAGACCCACTCCAGGCAAGGAACTACCTCTTTCATATCCTGCTTGAAAGAAGGGTCAAATCAGCAATCTGTATTAATATTCTCTATGTCCTATTCTTTTTTCTAGTAATTGTATTGTTAAATGTAAGTCTCCCAAGGGCATAGCCATGGACGACCAGAGTCACAAGAATCTTCATCAATACAAAGAAGCAAGCGGGGCACTGGCAGCTCATGCCTGCAATCCCAACTACTCAGGAGGCAGAGATCAGGAGGAGAGCAGTTCGAAGCCAGCCCCCTCAAATAGTTCAGGAGACTCTATTTCAAAAATACCCATCACCAAGGGCTGGTGGAGTGGGTCAAGCCCCAGTACTGCCAAGAAAAAGGAAGGAAGGAAGAAAGAAAGAAAGAATTAAAATGACAATATAGTTGGGTGCCAGTGGTTCATGCCTGTAATCCTAGCTACTTTGGAGGTTGAGGCTGGGAGAATTTCGGTTCGAGGACAGCTTGGGCAAATAGTTTGGAAGACCCCATCTCCAAAAATAATCACAGCAAAATGGACTGGTGATGTGGCTCAAGCAATAGAGCGCCTGCTTTACTTGCATGAAGCCCTGAGTTTAAACCCCAGTCCCACCCACCCCCCAAAAAAAAGATAACATCCAGTCATTGGGGCTGAGTAAAATAAGTAACAGTTCATTTGTACAAGGGAATGTTATGACTTAGACCTTGGGATAGATAGGAGATATTTTATAATGTCTCAATCTTCTTAAAGAACAACTCCCCCCTAATATCCAGTACCTCCTCTGCTGCTCAAACCAGCTCTCTTAGGATATTTAGCCATCTTTCCGACCCCTACTTTAGTCACCCAAAGCCTACCTTCCTTCCTGCAAAAATGGGCACGCAAATATTTCTTGAATGATTTAAAAGCCTAAGTCCAATTCTGATCAAAAACCAGATTACTGAGTTCAACCCCAGTTGGATCAGAGGAGGCTTTCATTTTCTTCTTCACAGTCTTATTTCCTCCATGTGTCAAATATTTATCATGCTATCCTTTTATAATAAGGAGAGAAAAAACACAACTGTGCTATTTCCTCCAGTGTATCTGGCTCTTAAGTCTAGATCATGAAATAATAGTGAAATTTCCCTTGTACAACTTACATATACTTTGGAAAACACTTAAGAATTGTCTGGGCCAGTGTGCTGGCTCCTGCCTGCAATCCTAGTTTCTTGGGAGACAGAGATCAGGAGGATCGAGGCTCACAGCCATCCTGGGAAATAGTTTGTGAGACCCTATCTCAAAAACATCCATCACAAAAAAGGGTTGGTGGAATGGCTCAATTGTAAAGTGCCTGTCTAGCAAGTGTGAGGCCTGAATTCAAATTCTGGTGTGGCCAAAATAAGAAAGAATCATGTCTGTCCTCAACAAGAAACCATTCCATGAAAGCAGCTTTCTTTTCTGGAGCTAAAGATTAACACAAAGTTAAAGTATGCCTTAAAAACAGTCAGCCATCTTATCTGCCACCCCTGAACTATTTCATGGTGACACGGAATACAAATTTCCCCATTCCTCATTCTTCCTTTCACTCATGGCCAGCCAGGTTTGTGGCCCTCCTCATCAAGGAGGTGTCAGGTTTTTCCAGGGGGTGTTTCATTGTTCTTTGATGCAATCCATCCCAAGACCAGAATTTGCAAATTCAAACTCTCCCCAAACCCTCTCCCTTGTCCTCTGGTAGTATTCGGTGTTGGTGACAGCCCTTTCAAATCTCTGCTTTTCCTTTCTCAGTTTCTCAGCATGTGTTAGCTGGGTCCTAGAGCTTTTTTTTTTTGTACTGGGGTTTGTTCTCAGGGCCTACACCTTGAGCCACTCAGCCAGCCATTTTTTTTTTTGGGTGGGGGATGGATTTTTTTCAAGATAGGGTCTCAAGAACTATTTGCCTGGACTGACTTTGAACTGAGATCCTTCTGATTGCTGTCTCCTGAGTGGCTAGAATTATAGGTGCAAGCTACCAGTGCTGGCATTTTCTAACCTTGCTGAAGCATGTCCAAAGACAACCTCACTCTTCCTCCTCCTCTCCTTCTTTTGCAGCACTGGGTTTTGAACTCATGGCCTCACACTTGCTAGCCAGGCACTTTACCACTTGAGCCAGCCCAGGGAGGAGTGTCTATTAATTTGTGACATTATCCGCAAGATGTTGTGTGTCTTGGTGTATTTGGGGGGAAAATCAGATGCATTTCCCTAAGATTCCCTAAAGGGGTGTTTGAGAAAGTTAAGAACTTTAGGGGAGAGATGGGATAGAGAAATTTCTGTCTTCTGCCTAGTTTTCTGGTTTTGTTTTTGTTTTTGTTTTTTAGTCAGACTAGAATTT